TCGGTGCGTCTAGATGCCAACGTCCATCATGGAAGCTGCGCGGCACACCTACAAAATTGGAAGATCACAGCCGTACCCTGACGGGAAGGCACCCTACTTCCCTCCCATGATGTCCTTCCCTCATCTCGCGAGGGAGCATACTGGCCCCCGTTCAAATTCCCTAAACCCTAAACTCTAAATCTCAACCGTGTTCACCTTCACAACCACGAGCTAAGGTGCCCAGAACTAAGCTTGGTTGTTTTGGATTCCCAAAGCCCTTGGTCAGAGTCTTCGGCGAATCTTGCCGCGGATTGTATTCTTTCACCGAAATAACTGGTTTTGCGCTGGACCCTCTGCGTTCGCAGAATGATGCCCAAGCTGCTTGTGCCGTATGTGCATCGGATAAGATGCCAAGATGAACTCAACCAACGCCCCTGAAGCTCCCCGATACATAGATAGACAGAAACGCAGATAGAAAGATGTATAGACAGACAGGCAAAACAACAGAAAGAAGCAAGACAGATAGCTAGAGAGATAAAAAAATATGTAGATGGAGAGATGTACCGACTTATAGATGGATGGATAAATAGACAGATCAACAGTCAAATAGATCGATGGACAAATCGACAGACAGATAGGCAGACTGAGAGAGATATCCCCTAAACTCGAAATATAACCTCTGAAGATTTCCGGATTTGTCCTTTAAGCCCTTTGAGAAGTATTTACGATTATTATGGTTCTCGACAAAATAGTAGGGGAAATTAAAAAAGATCCCAAAGGACAACCCAGTTTATTAAGAACCCCCCCTGTGCGCAGGAGGGGCCTCGGAGAGGACGACATCATCCACACCACGCACTTGTCTTTCGCGACTTCGACAGCCTTCCCGAGGGCTTTACGGCCCAAACACTGCTAAATACCTACATCGTAGAAAGTGGGTTTCTATGGTGGGAACTACTGTTTTGGGTTTGGGTCATCATCCCCCATATAGGTACTTACGACCCTTGATTTAGTGCTTGAAAGCTGCGTCAGGGTTCTCAAGTTCAGAGTTGATGCGCCACAGGGTTTCGGATTTCGGGTGTAATATAAGGGCCGCAATACTTAGAATAGGGTTTTGGGGGGGTACATTCATATTTGTATAGGAGCCGTAACAATTAGAACGGGGTTTTGGGGTACATTAATAAAGTATAGCTATAAGCCAGAGACTCCAATATTCCTTAATTAGGGAATATACCTTAAACCATATTCAAGATCCTACTATAATTTAGGGTATATTCCCCAATTAAGGGATATTGGAGTCTCTGGGAAGCAGGGGTTTTAAGATGTTCGGCTCCTGTGGCTGAGGGTTGCAGGCTCAGAGCTCCGGCCCCAGCTCCTGCCCGGAGATGCAGAACATGCATACACATGTCTCCGCTCTTTTGATTCAGTATACATACGTTAACCATTAGTTTAAAAGTACATGGATAAATAAAACAGGTACATGAATACATCTATAATAAGTATAGACATACAAACAATTGAATACATCTATATATATATATATAATATATATGTATATACTTATCCATGTATTTGTTTTTCTATTTAAAGAGTATTTTCGTCTTTACATTGGTTATGTGGCACCTATTGAAAACTTCTTCTCTATCTTTGCTGGTCTAACGCGTTCGTTTGCAACAGGCGGTTCAAACTTAACATTTCCCGCCGCCAGGTGTCTCTGCATCCTCGTTGGGCCACGCCTTGTGCGCTCGGGTTGCTGTAATACCCAAGTTTACCAACAACCGCAGACACTATGCTTACATGTGACACTTGCCAGAATAATCACGAAATTTGGACACCACTTTTCAACAGCAGGCAGCACAAAAATCTTCTCTGTTAGGTAGGCCTGGGCCTCCTCTGCAGAGGTCTTCTCTGCACACATCTTCATGTTTGCTGTGTACTTCTTCCTTCGTGAGGCGCACACATTGCTAACGAACGAAAACAGACTTGAAAATGCCCGTTGCGGGCTGATTGAAAAGGCCGATTAAAATGAAATGCCCTGTGCATCCCGGCCCCATTACGAGTGGAGGGTCGAGATACCTGTGCTCAGGCTTCTGGATAGGCGTACAGCAAGCTCACGTCGGCGATCGGCTTACCTTCCTTTCCTACCACAAGCACTTCGCACTGGATTGCTGGATCTTGTGGACATCTCATCACCTCACTGGGCGCCCCGGAGCTTTGTCGCGACACGATGAAATTATCGTCCTGGTCTATAGCCAGGCCGCGTCCCACACCAGAGAGGGTTCGGAGCACTCTAGGAGTACATTGATGCCAATTGATGGTGGATACCTCATACGTGTCGCACACAAAGATGGGGGTGTTGGTGTCACCTGCATTGGCCCGCAGTCCATAGATACGTCCTCCCTTGACGAAGATGGATGTGGCGAAGATGGTAGATGATGAATGTGATACCCTTTCGCATTGTGCTCCAAAGTCCAGGCGACAGCGATAAATTGTGCCTAAGACGGCTACATGTGCGAACAAATCATCTACCACATTCTGGATGTCACGAAGAAGAACATCCACATGCACATCGTCAATGGACTGTCCGGTAGAGAAGCTGTAGTAATTGTCGAAAGCGCGGCAGTTCTGCTGGGATGCCCCGGCTGCGGCTTCACAGGACAGGAAGGTTGGGGTGCCTCCAAGGGATGCCGTGGTCACCTTAGGGGTACTTAGAAATAATTTTTAATCTTTGGTTATCATAATCCCTAAGAAACAGCTAAAATTATAACTTTTGCTAGGGTTCTAAGTTCAGTATAGTCACGACAACATAGCTTCCGCTGGCGAAGAGGGCCCTGGCGTCAACGTTGAATATGACGCCCTTCACGTCGTCCTGGAGGTCCACCACAGTCTCACACTGTGGCCCGGCCTGTTATACACTACCAGAACTGTCGTGCACAGCAGTGTAATTACGTTGCGCGGTGTATATTCTGCAGTCACTTATCCAGCATCTAGCATACAATCTCGCATACTCAACTTACCCAGAGGCCTCATAGTAGTTCCTTTTGGGGATTTCCTTATAGGATTCTATATACCAACCCCAAAAAGGAACTACTTTGGGGATTTAGGGGTAGACTACTGTACTTGCGCTGCGGGCCGGCCTGGGTCACTTGGTCGCAGCGCAGAACCTTGGAGCCGTCAGCCACGAGCACCGTGGTGCCCGGGCCCTCCGTGGCCCTGACGGGCGCAGTCAGCTCGGCACCAGCGGTTGCAACCAGCACGCAACCGGACAAATCCAGGTCTCTGGATCCCAAAGGGCAGCGGTAGACACCTGCCGTCGAAGTGACCAGCAGCTGTGGCACAGCTGTGTCCAGCGTTGCCGAGGAGACGGTAGTGGTCGTGCTGCTAGTCGTCGTGGTGGTCGTGGTGGTGATGGCCGCGAACACCGTCGGACCGGGCCTGCACAATGAGTTAACCTTGTGATTGCACCTGGAGAACAACCGGCACTGGGGATTGCATGAGCTGGCTCTTGCATCCTCATCTGGTCTCGAGTTGTGGTAGTACGCCAGGTACCAGCAGTCCGAGAATCTGCTGCAATTCGACTTGCACTCTTCTAGGCTCGCGTGATCTAGGGCTACAATCTCCGAGTCCTTGCAGTACATGTCCGTGAGAGTCTCATCGGGCTCAAAAACTTTCACCTGCGCCGCGGACGGCACGCGCCCTGTGTTTAAAGGGGACTTCTGGTAGATCTTCGGGTTGTCGACGTCCTTACACACGGACTCGCGACGAGCATCACAGGCCTTGTACAAGACACAGTCATCACACCTGCTGCCGGTCTGTCTACCTGTGTACCAGCCATAGAAGTTGCATTCCGGGTCCGTGGCACAGTAATCCTCGCATTCTTGCTGACTGGAAAGCCCATCAAAGACCCTGTAATCTGCACGCTTCTCGTCGGCTGGGGCGTAACAGTACTTGCCACGATAGTCTTCCACCTCGGAGAAGGACACTTCAGCAGAACCAGACCTCGTGGTTGCCATAACCTGAGGCACAACCGGCCAAGTCCTCCCTGAATCTGCTCGTGGGTGGGTCCCTACTTCCACTACTCTACTTCGAGCTGGCTAGCAACACAGCAAAAGGTCTGAGCGCCACACCTGAGCTCCCACTCGCACAGTCTTGGCTTGCATCAAGGCTACTTGATCTCCCGTGGCATTTCCGGAGAACCCCGCTCCATCGCCACAGACTCCGCCAGCCTCCATGTTGGCCGAAGACCCTTGTGCGGAAAGCACGCACATCAGGCCATATGTTGCCAGCAACTCCCGCCACTGGCACATGGCGGCTTCTCTAAGAGTCTAAGTCTTATTGTCTGCCTGGTCCTGGCCAAAAGCTGCGAAGAGAGAGTTTGGTGGTGCAGGAAGCTCAAACTCCCTCCGGCCTAACCATGCGCAGAAAGGACACCGTGAGATTAAAACAAGCCCTCCTCCTCTGTAATTCATGCCGGCTCATGCCCGATACAAGAACCGACCAAGTTCCTGATCGTACTTCAACCGACCCGCTCCAGCAACACAAGCATGCTCGCGGGCCCTGATGGCTGTGTCGGGAATACAAATCAGCTTCGAAAGGCCACCCTGATCTTTGAGGATGACACTTGCTCAAGAAAGAGTGATTCTGTGGTTGTAAACAATGTCTAAGAATTCTGCTTCTAGCTCGGCGAACCATTCCGCCTGTCTCCAGTACTGCCAGAGGACCAGGGCAAAGTATGCCACAAAGGACAGCAGGAGACGATTTCGTCGCGAGCTAGAAGCGTCTAAGCCGAAGATCCGCACACGCTTCTGCCAATTCTTGGTGTAGTCGATGAGAGCAGCCACCGGATCGATAAGACCTCTGGCGCAGATTGCCTTCTTAGAAGTTTTAAATGCGTTAAACATGACCCGGTGCTGCTTACGGGAACCAGAACTCTAGCAGTAACAGCACAACGACGGCAGCCGCAGCAGTGCCGTTGCTGCTAATGCTGATGTCGATGCTGATGTTGATACTGATGTTGATGTTGACTTTTTGTTGTTGTTGCTGGTGTCGTTGCCGCTGTTGTTGCTGCTGTTGCTGCTGCTGCTCTGGTTGTTGCTGTGCTTGGCGAAGCTGTTATCGCTGCCGTTGTTGACCTGATGCTGCTGCTGCTGTTACTGCTACTGGTGTTGCTGTGCTTGATGTTGCTGCTGCTGCGTTTGTTGTTGCCGTTGCTTTTGCTGTTGCTTTTGCTGTTGCTATTGCTATTGCTGCTGCTGCTGCTGTTGCTGTTGATCCCGCTGTAAGCACTGATGTTGTTCTTGCTGCTGGTGGTGGTGGAGGGGGAGATGGACGTGGAAGTGTCTGTGGTGTTGGTGTGGTTCTCGTTGTTGTTGACGCTGCTGTTGCTGGTGTTGTTGCAATTGCAGTTGCAGTTGCAGCTAAAGCTGTTGTTTTCGATTATGATGTAGTTGCTACGGTCGGAGTGCTGCAAGCGGTTGTAGTCGGTCGCAGCAACAGAAAAGTCAGGAAGAAGCCACGGCTGCAAGCGAGTGGCTCGTGAAGAAGCTATCCACATGTGTGCGTTCTTCGGATATGGCTTCGTCTATGGTAACGGCATATCGAAGACGCTCCATTCGCTCTCGCCAGCTCTGGAGAATCTTCAAGGTGTCCTCATAGAAGTAATTCTCGAGGTCGACCAACTTGTTCATGATGTCCAACATCACGATCAGAACAAGGGGCAGGAAGACCATGCAGAACAAAGGCGTAATGGCATGCTGGCCATGCAGCAGGCCAACGGAGCAAGCCAGAATTACAGCGCACATAATCATGATGAATGCTAGGACCAGAAGAACTACTTGAGACTTCGACTCCATCACTAAACAGTCTGCTCGGGCGAGAAGCTGCAAGGCAGAAAACCTCCTCGTGGCCAAATAGGAGACCCGGTCATTGACGTTTTCCGCCAGGTTCCTGGGTCAGACGGTCCCTTAGAGGGTTTAAGTACGGGTATTTGGGCTAAGGTCGTTTCAGGCGCTGCTGCTTCTCGGGATTGGGCGTTTAGAGCTGCCAAAGGAATGCGGCACCCTTACAAAAAGGAGCCAAAACAAAGGACCCTATTCTAGATACATAACTACCCTTCCCAAACTCTGCAAGCGTACACCCCAAACCCTATAAAGGGACCCTGGCCAGAGGCCCCAGAGTAGTTCCTTTGTGTAAGGTAATCCCAAAAAAGAACTACTATGGGGGCTCTGGGTAGTTTAGAGAACTACCCTCAAAATCCTAAACCCTAAACCCCTAAACCCTAAACCCTTAATCCCTAAACCCTAAATCCCTGAACCCTAAACCGGGTCCTCTGCAAGATCGGCACCGGTCGATTCCCACGAAGTCCGAGAGATGCCGAGCTCCTCGAGGCGATCTGTAGGGGCCTGAATACCCTAAGGCCCCAAAGTAGTTCCTTTTTGATGTTCATTTTTTGAGTTTAGAATCCGATAAGGTAATCCCAAAAAGGAACTACTTTGGGGCCCATGGTTCATTAGAATGGGGGTTTACGGGTTTAGGGGTTATAGGGTTATAGGGTTTAGCGTTTAGGGGTTCGCTTTAAAGGGTTCCTTTTAAAGGGGTCTACAAGGCCTATGGGCAGATTACTTCAAAGGGTATTCATGGGGTTTTAGGGTAGGAGCCTTAACAATTAGAATGCCAGTTTGGGCTCCTTTATAGTAGAGTTATGATGAGGAACCCTAAGGAATGATATTGGTAATTATTAAGTTATTAAGGCTTCTATATTAGTTTCCGGGTCCGAGACTTTGGGGGTTGAGGGTTTAGAGTTTGGGGAGTGAATAGGGTGAGGCTTAGAGGTTTAGCGTTCAGGGGGTTTCTGGTTGAAAGACTTTGGGTCACATGGTTTGGGAGCTGGTGAGGGTTTCAAGGGTGTTGTTGGAATTTGGTCTTGGTGTTTGGGCTCTTGAATCTCTAGACCCAAGAGTAACCTAGGAATAAAAAGGGTGCCCTTTTTGGTTTAAAGGGGCTTATAAGGGGACCTGAACCCTAAAAAAGGGAATAAGGGCCTACTCCAGGTCCTAGACCTGGGTGTATATAGGTTGTGGGGACGGGGGGTTCGGCAGTTTCCGTGCAGGGTTTAGGTGGTGACATCGCAAAAACCTACGCCCCTCCGGCCAGGCCTGCAACCCCCCACCTGCTGCTGACCCCAGGTCTGCCCAATCATCTTTAAACCCTAAACCCCTAAACCCCTAAACCCTGAACCCTAGACCCTAAACCCCTAACCTGAATTCCTAAACCCTAAACCCCTAAACCCTGAACCCTGAACCCTAGACCCTAAACCCCTAACCTGAACCCCTAAACCCTAAAGCCCTAAACCCCTAAACCCTGAACCCCTAAACCCTGAACCCTAAATCCTGAGAGCCCCATCACCCAGCGCACGAACCGAAGCGAAGCAAGCAGGCCGTTGGGCTTCAGTGAGCACGCGTGGTTTAGGGCTGAGTGGCTTGGGTTCAGAGTTTTTGGTAATACGACAGTATAGTACACTATGATTACACTACAGTACATATCTAGTATACTACAAGAACTATAGTGTACCACAGTATAGTATACAAACACTAATACTATAAGATCCTTTAAGTACCGTAGAGTAACCTCATCTCATATTATAATACTACAAGAGTACTACCGTTGATGATATAAATCCTGCATTACTTTAAGGACCCTAAACAATGGGAATTTTGGATATTTCTTTATTATAGGTAATGCAGGATTTGTATCATCCTAAACCCTAAACCCCCCTAGAGATCCCTTAAAGGAGCCCCCTAAAGGTACCCTTATAGATCCCGTTAAAGGAACCCTAGGAATCGTAGACCCCAGTCCTTGGTTCAGGACTGCCAGGGTCCTCTGACGCACGAGGGCTTCCCGAAGTTAACCAGCTTGGCCTGGATAACACGAATCCTTGGCTGCGTTTCTTTTTGGGGCCTTAATAGCTAGAAGGCGGGGGGGATTCCTTTAAAGGGGCCCTTAAAGGGATCTATAGTAGGGTTGTATGATAGAGGGGCCTTAATAGCTGAGGGGGAGTTCCTTGAAAGGGATCTATAAGGGATGCAAAGTAGGGTTGTATGATAGAGGGGGGCTTAATAATTACAATAGGGTTTTGGGGCCCAGTTTACTGACATTACAATTGCGAACCCCCGAAATAATACCCTTTTCTGACCGGGATCGAGGTTGACAGGTGAAAGCCGACAAGCCGAAAAGGGATCCATGAACTGCAATACCGTACCAGTACCATCATCATGGTAGCAGCAGTAGGTATTCTGGATCTCGAATTGAATCGGTTTAATGTAGGGCCTAATAATTAGAATAGGGTTTGGGGCCCATTATACTGTACTTATGTAACAGCCTATCAATCAGTCAGCAATCACCTCCATAGCTGATCATCATTGCCATCGTTGCCGCAGTCATCGCAGCACTAGCAGGGGCTGCCGCAAGCTGCAGCCGCTAGAACAACAGGGCAGCAGCAGCAACGTTAGCAGCACCAAAAATGCTTCCACAGCAGAAAAATGGCAACAACAGCAGCAGCAGCGGCAGCAGCAGCAGCAGCAGCAGACACTACCCAGAGACTCCAATATCCCCTGATTAAGTAATATTCAATAATTTGTGGTAGGATCCCTTATATGATTTTCAGGTATATTCCTTAATTAAGGGATATTGGAGTCTCTGGGTATAACAGGCACGTCAATATGCAGCAACTTTCTAGCAATAAGATTGCACACCAAAACATGCGGCTTGCCGTGCACGTCACCTCAAGTATCGTTATGTGTGTTATGTGCATCCCCAGGCATCCTACCCTAGCTTCGCAGGTGTCCGTGGCAAAGGGGTCGCAGGCGGGACCAGTGGCCGAGAAGTCATTTTTACTAACATCGTTAGCCGGAGACACGAGCCCAAAACCTGTCATAGGAGTCCCAAAACCCAAAACCCTAATCCCTGAACCTTAAGGCCCTATAAACCCTAAACCCTAAAACCCAAAACTCTAAACCCTAAGCAAATTCCCAGCGTACTCTGAGCATCTGAGGTGGCCGAAGCCTCTCGAAAGCAGTGCTGGCGCGGTGACATCATCAGGACTTGGGGCATCCTCCAAGGTGATTTTTCTCTGGTTTGGGGTCATAAACTACAGAAAGAGGATAGAAATAAAAACAATAATGATATAGGTGGTGTTATATAGCAAAAATGATGATAACAACAGTAGCAAAAAGAATACAGGTGGAGGTCTCAGGCCCGATTATACCCAAGCCTCACGCTGCAGCAGCTCCGATTCTGCTTCCACGAGGGGCACGGACTCCTTTGCGCCTTCCGCATGCAGGACGAGCTTGTCAAAGCGCGCCTTGTATATTGCCACCAATACCGCACGACGCTTTCTGGGGGCAGCGAGGTACATGGTTGCTAGAGTGGAGAGCTGGATTTTGTCAAGACTTTCGATGAGATCATGACAGGTGCTGATCAGCATCATTGTGGTACAAAAAGCCATGAACAAGTATGCCCTTCGGCACCGCCACACGTTGGTGTGGTCAGACAGCATAAAAGCGTCGTTCCCGCTGATAAAGCGACAGATGGCCGGAAACAGCGCGGGAATCAGGCTGAACGTCACCAGAATCAACAGCCGAAGAGGCGAGAATTGCTTGGATATCCCAGAGGCATCCTGAAGCATTCCACGAAGCTCCTGCGACTCTGCCTGCGACGTATGCAAGGGTGTAGAGGGAAGAGGCTGATCACCAGTGGCACCAAAAACGGTAGCTTAGAGTCTCGTCTTATACACTACGAACCTCCAACCCCGACTACTCCTGAGGGCTGTCTTCTGGCGAGTTCATGATGATCATCCGCAGCATAACCTTCATGAACCGGCTCGTCAGGATGCCGGGAGACTCATCTCCGAAGATTCTAGCTGGCTTCTTCCGGATGTACCGATGCAGGTAGTTCAGGACCTGCGAGCATAATACATGGGCCTTATTAATTAGAATAGGGTTTGGGGCGCCTTTAGTATAGTTATCGCAGTATAGAGTTATAGTAAGGGACCCTCAGGAATGAGACTGGTAATTATTTCGGCTTCGATATTACCAAGGCCGATTCCTGCATTGATCATTGGGAACTCATGTAGCGGTCTTGCACAAAATCATAAACCCATCTCTTGCCAACAGTACTAATTTATGATTTATATTTGTGAACAAACAGCGGGGCAATACAAACGATTGTTGTACATGCGATGACTATCTGGCATGACGAATCCCCTAGCTGAGCCCCAACTGAGGGTCTGGTGGTATATATGATACTAAAAGCCAGGCACAAATAGTGTTGGTAGTTATTGAAGCCCCGAGTGTTCGGCCTGCGCATTTAGCCTCCGCTGCAAGAGGTTCCTACGCTCCTATACTCATCCTCCAGGAGAAAGGTTGACATCACATCGCCGTGGAGCCCATTAGAACGGTAGAACGGTGAGAGAGGTAAACAGAGAGCGAGAGAGCGGGAGAGGCTTTGTTTCTACAGACCCTACAAAAAAAGCCCAACCCGTACAGAACCGTATGTCAATGCAGTGTAACGGTTCGAACAGTTCATGAGACAGAACGAGAGCCCCCATGACCCAAAGCGCACATGCTCCGTCTTCAAGATGACAATTTTCCTTTCGCCGGCCTCCTGTAACTTACTGCCAAAGTCGTGCAAGTTGTGCGTATCCTTGCGCGAGTCTGCCGTGGGTTTCGCAATTGCATAGCAGTGTGAGGGTCGAGGGTCAAACCAGAGGCCCAAGAGTAGTTCCTTTTTGGGGCTCATATTTAGAATCATATGAGGTATTCCCAAAAAAGGAACTACTCTGGGGCCTCCGTGTACAAGTGAAAGATGGATGAAGGCATGCTTGGCGTGTTTAGGAACTCAGGTTGAAGTGGATTGAGGCCTGAAGATTGAGGCATCTTGCAATAGATGACGTGTTGTGGCTATGCGGCCCAGTAGGGCTTCTGGGGCTTAGGGCCCCTAACATCAAGAACCCCTGACCCTAAACCCTAACCCCCCCAAGCCCTAAGCATAAAACCCTAAAAACCCCTAAAACCTTCCCAGAGCCATCACCGAGGCTCTAACATCCGACCGCTGAAAGAATCCTGCTCTTGGATCTCCGACAGCTCGTCCAAGAGCATCCGGCCGGTGCTTTCTTCGATGCAGTAGTGGCAGACCTCCGCCAGAAATACAAGAGATAAGATAAGAAGGCATAGGAAGGGGCCGCAGAGCTCTAGGACGGAATTCTCTGCCTTTCTGAACTCTTGCAGGGTGTCCATTCGAAACGCCACTGCGGTCATAGTCCACAGAAGGTACAGCGGGAAGGCGGTAAGCCCAACCATGAAAATCTGTGACAAGGCACGCAAGCAGTTCCATTCAGTGATTCGAAGAGCCACTAAACCGATCGCGATTGGAGCCACGAACGGCCCCAATACAGTCAGAAACAAGGTGAGTAGAATCGCTGCAACTACAAAGCGCAATGAGAATGCATAGTCCCCTTCTGAGTTCACACGAATCTCCGGCATCCAGGTGCTGACCATGTGCACCAGCTCTCGGTAGCATTGCGCAGAAGGCCAGCACACAGTTTCCTCATGCTCTGGAGTCTCTTCGTTTGCCACCAAAGATTCCATGGCGCATTTGTCATAGCTCACAACCGTCTTGCGATGCCGCTTGAAGGGCGAACCGGCTCCTGTGGGGCGGGTCTCCCGCTGCGACATGCTGCGTGCCGGCCACAGCTGTGCAGTGCCCTGTGATATCTGGAGCCAAAGACCAGCAATGCCCATCGATGTTTGGCCGTGGTGTGTCACCGCTGCAACACTTTCAAAACAAACTTGGGACGTAACTTCCTATCAGACTCATCGGCAAGATCACACAGACACCGGAACATTCAGAAATCCTCACGTACGTGCATTCTTACTAGGGTCTGCATCATAATCTCGGATCGCTGCCTCCGTTGACCGTTGCAAGCTGCCTGGAAGTAGAAACCTCGGAAGTCGTCGCTGTTGCACAAGACTTGGGGAGCAGCTAGGGTTTAGGGCTTAGGGGATGAGGGTTCAGAGGCTAGGGTTTAGGTTTCAGGGCTTAGGGTTTAGGGGTTTAGGCTTTAGGGGCATGAAAGCCTCGATCTTGACACAGTGACCGCTAAGATGACCCGTTCATGGGTGCCTTAACGTCGTTGCCACTGTGCGGCGCAGTGCTCTAAAGGCCCTATGGTTGGCACTTCGGGATACCTGGGCTACTATAGGGGCCTTAAGCATTAGAATAAGGTTTTTGGGGTCTATTCTACAATCTTCATAATACAAGGAACCCCCAGGATAGTATATCATTAGGTAATTCTTTCGGCCCCTATACTATGCTACAAGAGCATCAGAACTCACTGAAGGCCCTCAACCCTAAACACTGCCAAGATGTCCTGAAGCCCTAACTTGACCGACCAAAATCAGCTGTTGTAGGGTCCCTACTGTTGATGCACAAAATCCTGCAATACCCAGTGTAAGGGATATACCATAGTTCCCATAGTTTAAAGTCCTTAGGGTCATGCAGGATTTTGTCCATCAGCAGTATGAACCCCACATCAGCGCCTATAATAAGAGCCTACAGAAAAGTAGGTTTTGGTAGGTTCAGGTAATGGCAACACTAAAGCCTCAAAACCCACAAAGGCTCGTACTGCGCACATAAAGCAAAGCGGGGGGGCCTTATACTCTGGACTTTGCCATGAAGCCTTTAGGGTTTAGGGTTTAGGGGTTTAGGGTTTGGGGTTTAGGGGTTTAGGGTTTAACCCCGGAACCCCCAGAAGACCAAAACCCACACCCTACAACCCTAAAGCCCTAAAGCCTTAAAGCCCCGAAACCTGAACCCTAAAACCCCAAAGCCCCGAAACCCTAAACCGTTAAACCCCTAAACCCTAACAAAAAGGCCCTAAGTACCGAGGCCAGCACCCCCGGTCAGCTCCTTTCGGGCAGGAGCGCGTAGAGGCGGGCTCGCTCCTCCAGCGTCGGGACCTCTCCGGGCTCGACCACCCAGAGCCTCGGCGCTTAAAAAGGGAGTTTCCAGAAAATTGGGGGGGTACCTTATTTTGGGGTCGTTATAATAAGGATCCTACTATTTAGGGTACTATATTAGGGTCCCCTATTTTCGGAAACTCTCATATATAGGAGCCTTAATAAGGGGCCCATTATACTCTAATTGTAAGAAGGAACCCGGATTAAGGTTTGTAATAGGGTTTGGAATTCAGGGTTTGAGGTCCAGAGTGAAGGACTTGTTAGGGCTCAGGGTTGCGGCTGGTCTGCTCATCACTTGCCACTTTCTGCTGACGCGGCTTTGCCGTGCCGTTGCCACTATCTACGCTGTAGTCATTGTTCTTATGGATATCTGTGGGTTTAGGGCTTAGGGTCCAAAACTGCATTTCGCAAGACACCCATAATCCCAAAACTCTGAACTCTAAATCCTGCACCACAACACGTGTAGCCAGGATGCTGGATTCCCAGCTCTGCCGCAGCACCGTCTGCTGGATCAGCACTGGCAAGCGCAAAGGGCCTGTCTATTCTGCAGAGAAAGCGGCTTGTGAGGGTTTGATATAGTTTTTTGGGGGCTTGGCGAGGGCTTACCCTAAGGCCCCAAAGTAGTTCATTTTTGGGGAACAGCCTATCAAGAAAGTCTAGGAACTGACAATAAGCCAATCGCTCGAACTAAGCATCCTAAACAAGCGGGGGGTCTGAATTCTATGTGCTTCTTCATGTTAGATCCCACATGCCCCCCCACCCCTGTGAACCCATCGCTTGAAACTCGTCCTCTAACAGCCTAGACAAACCGGAGTCTTGTTTTCTGCGCTTGCTCATGCCCATGTTCATGCTCTATATTGCAATCCCCCCCCTCATCGTCGCGGACCTGAGTGCGAGGTGCTGCAGCAGTGCGCGGGCATCGGTGACACCACCTTCGAAGATGGGGAAATCGGGGTCCCCGGTTAGCTACAAACTAAGCTACTGTCACTGTATTTACATACAACCAAAATCCTTGCGACCCCGGTTAGCCCACAAACTAAGCTACCGTCACTGTACATACAACCAAAACTCTAGCGATCCATAATCTCATCTTATAAAAGCTGCTATAGCCCCTACACGTCAAGGCCTCCTGGACATCTTTGGAAAGTGCAACAACCTGTTTCAGAACAGGAAGGTCCCCACATACCCGGGCTTCCTGACAGCAAGGACACCGGAAACAAGGGGACATTGCGTAGAAACCTCCACCCAAAACCTACACCCTGAAATCCACAAAACCACTTACAGTAGAAGCCAGAAAGTTGGAATATCATTATCGTAACCCCTTTAAGGTAAATTATAGGGGATCCTACCATTAATCCATATTCCAACTTTCTGGAGTTCCCTGTACTTCGGTTGACAAGGGCGTGGCCCTCTCGTCGTGGGGTACAGGGTTCAGAGATTCAGGCCCAACCCAAAACCAAACCCCCAGAGACTCCAATATCCCTTAATTAAGGAATATTCCTTAAATCATATTAGGGATCCTACTATAATTTAAGGAATATTCCTTAAATCATATTAGGGATCCTACTATAATTTAAGGAATAATCCTTAATTAAGGGATATTGGAGTCTCTGGGCCCAAAACTCAAAACCCCAAACCCAACGTTCCGGGCCCACGCCTCTTCCAAACCATCAGCCCCAAAACGTACTAAACCCTCAACCCTACAAGCCCTAACTGACTTAACTCTAAACCATAAACCCTAAACGCAAACGTACTTAACCGTAAGGTGGGAGTTTCCGAAAATGGGGGGTACCTTATTTGGGGGTCCTTATCAGGATCCTACTATTTAGGGTACCATATAAGGGTCCCTTATTTTGGGAAACCCGAGCATGGGCCGACTCCCTGAACAGCCTTGGACTTCGATCACCCTGAGGGCAGTCTCCGGGAATCGCTCTGCCAGGGCTTGGGCGAACATGCCTGCACGGTTTGGGGCTTGTAGGGTTTAGGGTTTGGAGCTTAAGGCTTATAGGGCTTAAGGTTTATAGGGTTTATAGATTTGTAGGTCTCATAGGGTTTGGGGCTTAGGGCTGCTGCTGCTGCTGTGGCTTTGTCGTGTACCGTCAGCTTCCCTGTTCTGCTACGAAAGCTTTGGGCTGGGGCAGTTCAGGGCTATGATTTTTCTAGTTTTCCAGGGTTTCGGGTTTAGTGGTTGCGGGGTTCAGGCTTCCCTAAACCCTATAGCTCCCAAATCAGGTACCTCCAATTTTCGGAAACTCCCACATAGCGCTTGGGCTTCGGAGGGGGGCTGTAGAGTTTCTTTCGGTCGGAGCATCGGGCTGAAGCCGGGCCTCCTGAGCCAACATACCTTTTTCAGGACTCGTATAAGGAACTCTTATTAAGGAGCCTAAAAATTCTAGGTTTTTTAAGGTCCAGGTTCTTAGTGGCGAGCCAAGAGTTTAGGGTTTGGGGTTTAGGGGTTTATCGGGTTGAAAGAGACTTCTTAGAGATCAAGTCTCTGGAGCTTGCTCATCGGACTGAAGAGCTTTGGCCCCCCTAAACTGCCTGTTGCAGTAAGTCTTGTCTTAGGTGGTGCTATGTTCTTGTGAAGGCATCCCACCCCTTAGAGGGCCGAACACGGGTTTTGCCCTTGGGTTTCGAGATGAACTTACACTATACCTGTAGCAGGGAATAGCAGGGATAAAACAAATCCGGAACTCTGAAGCCCGAAAACCCTACACCTAGCAAAGTCCTCAAAAGGCCTTCAACTAACTAACGTCCAAATAAACGCCACTGAAAACTCTCTCCCCGCCCTTCCAGCCCGTTCCAGCCAAACTTGAGGAGGACCTTAAACTACCATAACCCACTCTACGGTGGTTATTCTTGTCAACACCCAACACAAAAGTGTGGTAGGTTGAGGTACCTAAACCCCGATCTTAAAAGCTAAACCCCGAGGGCGTCCTGAATCGCGCAACACCAGAAGCGTTGGCCCCGTCTCTGGGCCAAACACTCGGTAGCCTCATCGGCGCCAATCGGAATAGTAATTGTAATAGCACTAGTAAATAGCAACTCGTCAATAGTAACAGTAATAGTAGGAGTAACAGCATTAGCAATAGTAATAGTAAGGGGAATAGAAGCTGTATAGTGTACCCTGCTGGTAGTAAACATGTGAACATGCTGAAGTTGAATCGGCCCCGCTGAAGCTCCTCAACTTTGCATTTAGTTGCCCATCGCAAACTTGTGACCTCACTGCACCCCCAAAATACCATTGGTAAGCATGTAGGCCCCTGAAGTATACAGATGCCTCCAAGGATCGCACCACCTGTTCGTCGCAAACCGCCTTGTGACTGTGACGAGCCAGCATGCGGGAGGGGGGTTAGGGTTTAGGGTTTAGGGTTTAGAGTTTAGGGTTTAACATAAGAGAGCAGGTTGCTGTGGGGCCTGGGTTTTTGTAGACCCACCTTTTGTATCATATGTACATTCTAACAACTTCAAGCACTTAAAGGGTACACGCAGCATTGCACCACAAAGGCCCGTCTTCTATTCCTGCGTTTAATGTATTCAAGGTCAGGTTTAGCCTGTGTACATGTAGTATTGTATTGTCAGACGTCAACGGGTTCGACAGCGCGGCATTGATTGGCTAGTATTCAAAGTTTTCCCACAACAACTGTCGCAGGCAGGAAACACCGTAAATACCGTGTATTCTGCACTTCATCAAACCAAGTCTTGGGATAGGCCACATAGACTCGACATGTTGGACACGGAGCGGCATGCCTTTATTATCCGTGCAAGACTCGTCATCCGATCAAGCCACTCCACCCAGCACCTGAACCAACGCATCATCAGCTTTGGCATGCAGTGTTCGGTTGTTGGAGAACTGGTACGCATTGAATTATTGTGCTTATCGGGCAAAGTGCACAGGAATCGAATTAAGTGTTCAGGTCAGTGCTTGAAATGTGTTTTTGCATGTCAACAAATATGAGTGAGTTCAATGTATGCATTAGCATGTGTGACTACCAGGGAGCCAAGGGCCAAGGAATGATGAAAAGCTGCCTGTGGTTGACAAGTCTGGTACTTGTCGAAGATGACTCGAACCCTGTTTGCGCATGTTCATGTCCTGCTGGCTGCTATAGGTACCTCGCTTTGGGTATCCACAGTCTACAATCCAAAATAGCGAGCATCTGGATCAGTATGAATTCTGAGTCCGGACATCTGGTTTTATGAGCCGCTGCCGCTGAAGCCTCGCTCGGGGAATGAAAAAGTTCTACTGTGGTCCAGGCCGTTGCATGATCTTGCATGGCCTCCAAATCCACAAGTATCGGTGTCATGAATTTTCTGGTTCGATATACAATCAACCCTTCATATCCCTCTGGTCCTCTAAGGTTATAAAGGTGGCAAAGATTGGACCTCTGAGCTATGTAGCAACAGCACTTGTGTTTACACGTGAAGACAGGCATACATATATATATATATATGCACAATATTCCACACAAGCAAACCCTGTGTTTATGGACAACTCTTTTGTTTATAAACAAGGCCAGGTGTTTATAAACAACCTACAACATAACATTGTGTATACGCAGAAACACCGTCAATACCGGTGATCTCATAGTTTCCCAATCAAACAAGGTCTTGGTCTAAGCCACACGAGCCGATACGTGGAAAAAGTCCAGTGAACGTATCAGTGTGTCAGTGTGCAAGATTTGCGGTGAGGTGAGGTTTGTGAACTTCTTGGTTGGAGTCTGTGGCGCGGTGATGAGGGGGAGGGGGGGGGGGGGGGCGGGGGGGGGGGTCTTGGAACATCAAGCCAAGACTTCTGCCCCCCCCCCCCCCCCCCCCCCCCCCCCCCTCTCCCCCCTCCCCCCCCTCCACCGCTTCCGCGCGACATCACGGCATATATAAATGAATACGAAGAAACATACAACCAGCAGCACGTATAAGACAAGAAGACAAGAGTTAACTATAGTAGATCATATATTAGACACAAAAGACAACGAACAAATCCAACAAACTCAAAACGTTGAAAGCACGGTAGACCGAAAGGCAATGTTTATAAACAAACCCTGTGTTTATAAACAGACCGCGGGGGTTGAAACAATTCAGAGTTGATGTTGTAGTTGGAAACAAAAACGTGCAAGCATGCGCACCAAACGAGCGACCAACTGACACAGAAACCCACGCACAACCATTCGAAACATAAAAACCACTGAAAATAGTGGGTTGCCAAAACGCAGGCCCCACAGCCTCCTCTTCTGTAACATAACAAACACAACAGGATTCCTACAAATCTCCCGCAGCAGTCAAGCTGGCGAGCATGATGATGACGATGGTGACGAGAAGGTGTTGGTCCGTGTTGGTCGAAAAGGCGTTGGTCGCAATGATGAAAACAACGATTTTAACGAGGAGGAGGAGGAGGAGGGTCTGGATTGACTACAGTGTTGCTGCTACCGACGACGGCGACCAACACTGCCGCCAACGACAATCACCAGCATTACCAGCACTACCAGTCGCTGCTGTGTCTATCACTACTACAACAACGATTACGACCACGACCGCGACTACAACGATGCCGACAAAGACCAGAGGAGAAGGACGACGACTGCTTCTGCGGCTGACCATGCCTACACCCACCTACGACCGGGACCACCACGACTTGCAGCAACGATCGTTAAGAACAAGTGCTGTTGCTACTACTGCTGCGACTTCTACTAGTTACTAGTCTGCTTAAGTTCCTCGCCTAACTACCCACCACCTGGCTACTACGGCCAGGACTAAGATAATCAATGCTGGAGCTGCCAGTGCTGCATGCTGCGCTGGTAGTCACGTATAGTATAGTGGTGCTGAGCAGCAGAAAGGGTAACGAAGTGCTCAGGACGTGGGTGAGCTCGAGCTCGTCACGTCTTTCACGGAAGTTGTGCATCCCAACATAGAAAGCAGCAATTACCAATACAGACCTTCACGACATCCTTGTAGCCACCATGCTGTTAAGCCAAAGCATTGGCAATCCGAAACACCAAAAGCCTAATCGCGACAAACAAACTTAAAGCCTGAACTCCAACTCTATGAACACCCTAGACCCTGAACCCTGCACTCTTGGGACCCACAACGAACTCCCGATAAGATTAACTTCTCGCATGGCCTCCTCGAAGATCTCGCCGCGGAGCTCCGCCTGGCATCAGGAGGCTTCTCTGAACAGGCCATGCTTGGAGGGCTAAGGGTTTGGAGGAGCTGCTCAGGGTGTTGGGGTTTGAGCCAAACGGTTCGGGTTTAGGATTGTGAGGTTAGCATGTAGGAGGAACCACACTGTAGTGTGGAGTCATACTGCATCAGCTGAGGGGAGGAGATGCTTCAATGCAACCAAGCTTCGCGTCTCATGGCTGCACCCCTGCCGCAAAAAAGCCATCACCCCAAACCCTGGCCCTAAACCCTAAACCCTAAACCCTAACCCCCATCCCCCCCCCCCCCCCCAAACCCTCAAATGTCCTCGAGGCGGCGCAGCCACAACGTGGATCGCAGTCGATGAAGCAGGGAGACTTTGGCGGGCAGAAGCAACCAGCCTCACTTCGCGGGAATGTGGGTTTAGGGTTTAGGGATTGAAGTTTATAAGGGCAAAAGCAACCAGCCTCACTTCGGTTGTTGTTGTCGTTGTAACGGCAGGAGCAGCAGTCGTAGTAGTCGTCGTAGTAGTAGTAGTAGTAGCAGTAGTAGTAGTAGTAGTAGTAGTAGTAGTAGTAGTAGTAGTGGTAGTAGTGGTAGTAGTAGTGGTAGTAGTAGTGGCAGTAGCAGCAGTGGTGGTAGTTGTTGTTGTTGCTGCTGCCGTTGTTGTTGTCGTTGCTGCGGCTACTGCTGCTGCCGCCTGCTTTTGTTGTTGTTGTTGTGGTTGTGGTCGTGGTCGGGTTGTTGCTGTTGTTTTTGTCGTTATTGTTGTTGTTGCTGCTGCTGCTGCTGCTGCCCTTGTCGCTGTTGTGGTCGTGGTTGTGATTGTCATCGTGGTTGTTGCTGTTGCTGCTGATGTTGTTGTTGTTGGTACAGACAAAAACAGCAGCCCGTACTTGTTGTTAATTAGAAGCAATCGGGAATGCTTCCGGCGACCGCATAGGGTGCCTGTAGAGTTTTGGGAAGTTCAAGCCATGCCTGCCCCATGATAGAAATGTGGTGTAGGCTGGGTGGTTGTTGTAAAAGGGGGGGGTCAAAACAACAGACGGGGCTCCAGTTTTTGCCTCTACTACAGGTGGTAGAGACAAAGGCACCAGCGAAATCAGGACTTTGTCCCTACCCCGTGTAGTAGAGGCAAAAACTGGAGCCCCGTCTGTTGTTTTGACCACCCCCCCTTTACAACAACCGCCCACATTACACCACATTTCCACCACAGGTATAAGAATCTGCGATATCCAGAAGGGGTTCTGATGGGTGTTGGAAGGGCTTGTCTGGAATTTTGAGGGGTTGGCATTGGATACCCGTACACTCAAAACTATAGTTACCAGTTACTATACAGTAGTTTGTACAGGCCTCGCAAATGCATATTCTGCTCGGCGGGGAACCACCAAATGCACTGAAATACACACCAAATCCACTGAAATACACACCAAGTACACACCAAATCCACCGAAATACACATTAAATCCATTGAAATACACACCAAATCCACTGAAATACACATCAAATCCACTGAAATGCCACGAAATCCACTGAAATAAACACGAAATCCACTGAAATACACATCAAATCCACTGAAATGCACACGAAATCCACTGAAATAAACACGAAATCCACTGAAATACACACCAACTCCACTGAACTCCGCACCAAATCCATTGAAATACACGCGCAATCCACTGAAATACACCCGAAATCCATTGAAATACACACCAAATCCACTGAGATACAGACGAAATCCACTGAAAATACACACCAAACAGTATACATCACAGGCATCCACAGGCACTGTGTTGTTGTTGTTGTTGGGGGGGGGGGGGGGGTAAAACAACATGACGGGGCTCCTGTTTTTGTCTCTACCTAATGTACAGACAAAAAGCAGATACATGGGTTGACGGGGCTGCAGTTTTTGTTTGTACCTTGTCGTTGTTGTTGTTGTTGTTGTTGTTGTTGGTGGTGTTGTTGTTTGTGCTGCGGTTGTCGGAATGATGATAACGATGATGACGATGACGATGACGATGACGATGGTGATGATGGTATTACTAACAAGAGGAATGGCGACCACGAACATGACGATGAGCGAGGATGGGCATGGCCAACCGAGCTTGAGCAGCAGTGCGGATGCTGAACCATAAGCTCATGCTGCAAACCAATATGCACATTTCAATGCATTGCCCATCATGCTGGCTGATGGTGACATAATGGAAGCCACTATGAGATCGCTGTCTTTCAAGGCGCCTGCTGCAAGGGCTCCTGCTGCCAGGAAGGACTCGCAGCAGTTCGGCATGGCATGCTGTACCAGTTTCACTGTCAGGCAAAGGGTAGCCGCATGTAATTGCGTTGGTGGCTCCTGTGAACCTTTAGCAAGCCTTTTACGGAATCGTGCAATCTGTGTGTTTGCTGGTATGTGGAGACGGAGACATGTCACTACGGTGCTCGGACAGATGACGAAGCTCCGGCATGAAGGGCTGGATGCTTTTGTGCTCTTGTGACTCTCCTCAAGGTGCCTGCAACAAGGATTCCGAAGACAAGTTCAGAAGAAACTGCAAAGTTCGGGTTTTGCCGGAACAGGGTTGAGTGTTTAGGCTTAAGGGTTTAGGAGTTTAGGGTTCAGTGTTTAAGGTTAAGGTTTTAAGGCTTCGGGAAGTGTTTGTTGCAAGGTTCCTTCGAGATGCCTTTCAGGTTCGTGCTCTGAGAATGTGGACTTGCGCATGTTTTTTTTTGAGCCCTGGGTCCTGAGGATGTTTCATGGATACTGGACCCAAACCATATTCTGCATTACTGGCTAGTGTCTCTCAGCTCAATAAAGCGTTAAATAAGACGATTGTATACTCATAAAGGGAACTCCAGAAAGTTGGAATATGGTTTCAGGGTAAGATACCCTATAGGCCCTATAATTTACCATGAAGGGCTTAGGATAATCATATTCCAACTTTCTGGCTCTTACTTTACTGACACAGACGACGGACAAACTCAAACAAGACGAGCAGGCAATCAGGCGCAGTAGCGCGTTTCTCCGATCTCCCTGGATAAGACATCTCTGTCTGGTTCTTAGGAGGGAATGGTGGAATGGGTTCCTTTAAGGGTTCCTTTCAAACTGGTTCTTTCAGGGTTCCTTTAAAGGGGTCTATAAGGCTAATGTCTGGTTCTTTGTACTTGGAGGTTCATGGGTAGTTATAAGTAGGGGTGTAAGTAGGGCAACTATACTTATAACCCATATTAGGGGACTTATAACCCTACTTATAACTACCCATGAACCTCCAAGTATCCTTGGGGAACTAAAAGTTAACCCTTTTGGGTATATAGGGATTATATAGGGACTATACTACCCAAAAAAGGTTAAAGGTTGCCTACTCTACTACTAGGAAACTCTTAAGATAAAACTCTTACCCTAAGGCTCCATGTACCCTTATAGTATATACTTACATAGTCCTTAAAGTACCTATGAAGGGACCCCTTTAAGGCTTAAGTATCTACTATAATGGTACATGGAGCCTTTGGGCTACTAGGAAACTCTGAAGAGTACCCGAGGCTGCAGCAGGGGAGTTTCCACCGTCCCGTTCAGTGGATCTTATTACGATTTCTGGGTTTCGGGGTTAGGGGTTTAGGATTTTCAGGGTTCAGGGTTTAGGGTTTAGGGTTAAGGGTTTAAGGTTTAGGGTTTAGGTTCAGTGGATCTTATGGTTTCGGATTCCGGAGGATCCAAAAAGTAGATCCCTTGATGGGGGTTCTCATAAAGGATCCTTAGTAGTATAGGCCCCATATTAGGGAATCTACTTTCTAGATTTTTCCGGGGGTCTGGGTTTAGGATGTATGCGCTTGGGGCTCGTAGCCAGGTGTCTCAGTGATCTGTGCTGTTCGACGCATCTGTGTACACTGGTCTTGCAAGAAGATGTTCTTCCGCGATACACCCTAATGACAAGGGTACTCTTGTCACAAGCGCCGAAACATCATGATACCTTGGACAAGTAGGACGTGCTTTGAGACGGAGGGGGGTGGGATGGGCCCTGACGACAGTTCACTGGATTCGGCTCTTGTCACGAACTAGATTTCGTGCAGACTATCTCGTCCTCCAATGCATTCCAGAAAGTACATGCCTGTCGGCTGCATGAGCTTGTGTGCAGAGCTGAATTGAAAGTTTCGGCGGCTAGGCCTTCAGCCAACCAACCTGAACCTGTGGCTAGTCTTAAAGCCTATACCGCCTGCACACTAGCCCAGTGCTATTTGCATCAGTCCTACAGTCCTGCCACGTGTGTTGCTTTGGGATGTCTTTATCTGGAACACAGGAGGTATTGGAAGGGGAGATTGCTTTTCGCAGTTCACTGCCAATGCCGTGCCCTGTATGGGTTTCGCAATTGGAACTGAAAGGAACTTCCGCGGGCACCGCACTGTATGAACTACGCTAATTACGCCTCCGTCCTCTCGCGGACACAGGCCTGGCTGTATGCTGCACTGATCACGTCAGCGCAGGGCTTGTGTAACCCTCCCATAGGCTCCATAGTGGTTCCTTTTTGGGATTGCCTTAGACGACTCTCAATATGAACCCCAAAAAGGAACTACTATGGGGCCTATGGGTAACCTATCAACTACAAAGACAAAGCACGCTCACTGTTGCGCGACTCGTGCTGGAACCTGCGCTGCAACGCAGCAGCAACAGAGAGAAAGGTTGAGAGGCCCGAATCTAGGCCATGAGGCGGATGCTGTCAATGAGTCATTTCTGATTTCTAGTTTGAAGTCGGGTCAAAGTCTGCATGAGGAGGCTCCCTAAGCGCTGAACCCTAAGCTTCAAATTCAGTCTATCTTGGCCATGGGAGCAGTTAAGTACGAAGTACTCCTGCACCATGTGGGAGTTTCCGAAAATAGGGCCTAATATAGTACCTTAATATAGTAGGATCCTTATTATAAGGACCCCCCAAATAAGGTACCCCGAATTTTCGGAAACTCCTAAACCCTAAACCCTTTATAGAACCCTTATAGATCCCTTTAAAGGAACCCTTAGGAGGATCAACCCTTATAGATCCCTTAAGGATCCCTTTAAAGGTACCCCCCAATTTTCGGAAACTCCCATGGTAGCCAGAGACCCTGAACCCTGTGTTTTTTTGAGGCCCTAGGTCCCCCAGAAGAGTGTGGTGTCGGGAGGTTTAGGGTTTAGGGATTTAGGGTTCAGCAGCTCCAGTTCGAGCAGTTTTAAAGTATAGTTGTATATACCGCTTGGATATAACACCCACCCACCCATAGAATCCCATAACATTAAGAAAATAAAAAGTTTCTTTCATCCTTACTAAGCATCTACCTACAACTTGGCTTCACACACTTCTATGACTATAATGCCCTTAAAGTCAAACCCTAGGCCCTAAACCGTAAAGCCCAAGCCCTAGGTCTAAACCCTAAAGCCCAAGCCCTAGGCCCTAAACCCTAAAGCCCAAACCCTAGGCCCTAAACCCTAAAGCCCAAGCCCTAGCCCAAGCCCTCGGTCTAAAAGACTAAACCTTAAATTTAGTAGCGTGTCAACACCGTGGTTGTCTAGTCTTAAGTAAAGCATGCGACACGATGGGCAAGGCACGTTTTTGGGCCTTGCCCGCGAATTGTCCAGACATCTGGTCACCAGATGTTTGGAGAATTCGTGGGGTTTAGAGTTTATTTTAGGGTTTAGGGTTTAGGGGGTTGGGGTTTAGGGTGTACTTACAAGGACTACAGTAATGCTACAGTAAGGGGGTCCTGAAGATAGTGGAGCCAAACACAAAGGATCAAGAGGGGCGGGTTGAGGGACGATGTGTCCTCCAGGGTTCCCTGGCTATACTCTGTAAGGGCCTGGGAAAGCCTTAGGGTTTAGGGTTTAGGGTTTAGGGTTCCCCAACCCTCAACAAGCAAGTAGCAAACCTTGAGCCCTCAGCCCATAACCTTCGACCCCAAACCAAACTCGCAAAACAGCAACTCCCACTTGCTTTGTGCAAATCGCATTGCCCTGAAACCACCGAAATTAGCGTCAGGGCACTGGAAAGGTTTATGAAGTTTACTATATCAGGGTTGCTATATACAAGGTACGATAACCCGAAGCCTCAGAGCCCTCTAACCTACAGTGACAAGCTCACCTCAGGTACCCTAAATCCTAAACCCTAGACAAGCTCACCTCAGGTGTCGCAAAGGTCGCGCTTGCAGATGGGGCAGTTGACATGATTGCGTCCCCACTCGGCGAGGCAGTCCTCTGGAGCTCAGGCCGTTGGGCATTTACGGTTTAATTGGGCTTTGGCGTTGTAGGCGTCCAGAGTTTAGGGTTAGGAAGGTTTGGGGGTTTTAGGGCTTGGGGTTTAGGGCATCAGGCCGTATGTCTTCGGGCTCATCAGCTTGATAGTGTCAGCCTTTGGAGCTCAGGGAAGGGGTCAGAAGCTGTTATCGTGCAGAATTTAGAGGGGTGCAGGTCGGGCTACCTGGCGCGTGGAAGATCTCAGGTGTCAGCAGCGGATTGAAGTTCCTTTAAAACTCTCCCGCTGGACGAACGAACCCACGGCAGAGGACCAGTTCGACCATAACACCACCACAAGCATCATCAGCACCAGCTGGAAATCCGTTTAAGCTCAATCTGCCACGGCAGGGTAAAAGCTGGACCCGGATCATTGGGCAGATTCAGCGAAGCCCGACGCGAGCATCATCAGCATCAGCTCGAAAACCTTTCAAACTCAATCTCCTATCCCCGGGCCTTAGAACCCACAGCAGGGTAGCAGTTCGACCCAACTATTGGACAGATTCAGAGAAGCCCGATGGGAGCATCATCAGCATCAGCTCGAAATCCTTTCAAACTCAATCTCCTATCCCCGGGCCTTTGAACCCACAGCAGGGTAGCAGGTCGACCCAACTATTGGGCAGATTCAGCGAAGCCCGACGCGAGCATCATCAGCATCAGCTCGAACTCCTTTCAAACTCAATCTCCTATCCCCGGGCCTTTGAACTCATAGCGGGGTAGCAGTTCGACCCAACTATTGGGCAGATTCAGCGAAGCCCGATGCGAGCATCATCAACATCAGCTCGAAATCCTTTCAAACTCAATTTCCTATCCTCGGGCCTCTGAACTAATAGCAGGGTAGCAGTCCGACCCAACTATTGGGCAGATTGAGCGAAGCCCGACGCGAGCATCATCAGCATCAGCTCGAAATCCTTTCAAACTCCATCTCCTATCCCCGGGCCTTTGAGCCCACAGCAGGGTAGCAGTTCGACCCAACTATTGGGCAGATTCAGCGCAACCCGACGCGAGCATCATCAACATCAGCTCGAAATCATTTCAAACTCAATCTCCTATTCCCGGGCCTCTGAACTAATAGCTTCGACCCAACTATTGGGCAGATTGAGTGAAGCCCGACGCGAGCATCATCAGCATCAGCTCGAAATCCTTTCAAACTAAATCTCCTGTCCCCGGGACAGCAGGGTAGCAATTCGACCCAACTATAGGCAGATGCAGCGCAGCCCGACGCGAGCATCAGCAGCATCAGCTCGAAATCCTTTCAAACTCAATCTTCTATCCCTGGCCAACTATTGGGCAGATTGAGCGAAGCCCGACGCGAGCATCATCAGCATCAGCTCGAAATCCTTTCAAACCCAATCTCCTATCCCCGGGCCTCTGAACTAATAGCAGGGTAGCAGTTCGACCCAACTATTGGGCAGATTCAGCGAAGCCCGACGCGAGCATCAATAGCATCAGCTCGAAATCCTTTCAAACTCAATCTCCTATCCCCGGGCCTCTGAACTAACAGCAGGGTAGCAGTTCGACCCAACTACGAGCATCATCAGCATCAGCTCGAAATCCTCTGAACTAACAGCAGGGTAATTAGCAGTTCGACCCAACTATTGGGCAGATTCAGCGAAGCCCGACGCGAGCATCATCAGCATCAGCTCGAAATCCTGTCAAACTCAATCTCCTATCCACGGGCCTCTGAACTAACAGCAGGGTAGCAGTTCGTCCCAACTGTTGGGGAGATTCAGCGCAGCCCGACGCGAGCATCATCAGCATCAGCTCGAAATCCTTTCAAACTCAATCTCCTATCCCCGGGCCTTAGAACCCACTGCAGGGTAGCAGTTCGACCCAACTATTGGACAGATTCAGCGAAGCCCGACGCGAGCATCATCAGCATCAGCTCGAAATCCTTTCAAACTCAATCTCCTTTCCCCGGGCCTCTGAACCCACAGCAGGGTAGCAATTCGACCCACCTATTGGGCAGAAGCCCGACGCGAGCATCATCAGCATCAGCTCGAACTCCTTTCAAACTCAATCTCCTATCCCCGGGCCTCTGAAGGAACAGCAGGGTAGCAGTTCGACCCAACTATTGGGCAGATTCAGCAAAGCCCGACGCGAGCATCATCAGCATCAGCTCGAAATCCTTTCAAACTCAATCTCCAGCAGTTCGACCCAACTACTGGGCAGATTCAGCGAAGCCCGATGCGAGCATCATCAGCATCAGCTCGAAATCCTGTCAAACTCAATCTCCTATCCCCGAGTCTCTGAACTAACAGCAGGGTAGCAGTTCGACGCAACTATTGGGCAGATTCAGCGAAGCCCGACGCGAGCATCATCAGCATCAGCTCGAAATCCTTTCAAACCCAATCTCCTATCCCCGGGCCTCTGAACTAATAGCAGGGTAGCAGTTCGACACAACTATTGGGCAGATTCAGCGAAGCCCGACGCGAGCATCATCAGCATCAGCTCGAAATGCTTTCAAACTCAATCTCCTATCCCCGGGCCTGTGAAGGAACAGCAGGGTAGCAGTTCGACCCAACTATTGGGCAGATTCAGCAAAGCCCGACGCGAGCATCATCAGCATCACCTCGAAATCCTTTCAAACTCAATCTCCTATCCCCGGGCCTGTGAAGGAACAGCAGGGTAGCAGTTCGACCCAACTATTGGGCAGATTCAGCAAAGCCCGACGCGAGCATCATCAGCATCAGCTCGAAATCCTTTCAAACGCGATCTCTAGCAGTTCGACCCAACTACTGGGCAGGTTCAGCGAAGCACGGCGCGAGCATCATCAGCATCAGCTCGAAATCCTGTCTAACTCAATCTCCTATCCCCGAGTCTCTGAACTAACAGCAGGGTAGCAGTTCGACGCAACTATTGGGCAGATTCAGCGAAGCCCGACGCGAGCATCATCAGCATCAGCTCGAGATCCTGTCAAACTCAATCTCCTATCCCCGGGCCTTAGAACCCACAGCAGGGTAGCAGTTCGACCCAACTATTGGACAGATTCAGCGAAGCCCGACGCGAGCATCATCCGCATCAGCTCGAACTCCTTTCAAACTCAATCTCCTATCCCCGGGCCTTTGAACCCACAGCAGGGTAGCAATTCGACCCACCTATTGGGCAGAAGCCCGACGCGAGCATCATCAGCATCAGCTCGAACTCCTTTCAAACTCAATCTCCTATCCCCGGGCCTCTGAACTAACAGCAGGGTAGCAGTTCGACGCAACTATTGGGCAGATTCAGCGAAGCCCGACGCGAGCATCATCAGCATCAGCTCGAAATCCTTTCAAACTCAATCTCTAGCAGACTCTAGCAGTTCGACCCAACTACTGGGCAGGTTCAGCGAAGCCCGGCGCGAGCATCATCAGCATCAGCTCGAAATCCTGTCAAACTCAATCTCCTATCCCCGGGCCTTAGAACCCACAGCAGGGTAGCAGTTCGACACAACTATTCGGCAGATTCAGCGAAGCCCGACGCGAGCATCATCAGCATCAGCTCGAGATCCTTTCAAACTCAATCTCCTATCCCCGGGCCTTAGAATCCACAGCAGGGTAGCAGTTCGACCCAACTGTTGGACAGATTCAGCGAAGCCCGACGCGAGCATCATCAACATCAGCTCGAAATCCTTTCAAACTCAATTTCCTATCCCCGGGCCTCTGAACTAACAGCAGGGTAGCAGTTCGACCCAACTATTCGGCAGATTCAGCGAAGCCCGACGCGAGCATCATCAGCATCAGCTCGAACTCCTTTCAAACTCAATTTCCTATCCCCGGGCCTCTGAACTAACAGCAGGGTAGCAGTTCGACCCAACGGGCAGATTCAGCGAAGCCCCACGCGAGCATCATCAGCATCAGCTCGAACTCCTTTCAAACTCAATCTCCTATCCCCGTGCCTTTGAACCCACAGCGGGGTAGCAGTTCGACCCAACTATTAGGCAGATTCAGCGAAGCCCGATGCGAGCATCATCAACATCAGCTCGAAATCCTTTCAAACTCAATTTCCTATCCCCGGGCCTCTGAACTAACAGCAGGGTAGCAGGTCGACCCAACTATTGGGCAGATTCAGCGAAGCCCGACACGAGCATCATCAGCATCAGCTCGAAATCCTTTCAAACTCAATCTCCTATCCCCGGGCCTCTGAACTAACAGCAGGGTAGCAGTTCGACCCAACGGGCAGATTCAGCGAAGCCCGACGCGAGCATCATCAGCATCAGCTCGAACTCCTTTCAAACTCAATCTCCTATCCCCGGGCCTTTGAACCCACAGCGGGGTAGCAGTTCGACCCAACTAGTGGGCAGATTCAACGAAGCCCGATGCGAGCATCATCAACATCAGCTCGAAATCCTTTCAAACTCAATTTCCTATCCCCGGGCCTCTGAACTAACAGCGGGGTAGCAGTTCGACCCAACTATTGGGCAGATTCAGCGAAGCCCGACGCGAGCATCATCAGCATCAGCTCGAACTCCTTTCAAACTCAATCTCCTATCCCCGGGCCTTTGAACCCACAGCGGGGTAGCAGTTCGACCCAACTATTGGGCAGATTCAGCGAAGCCCGATGCGAGCATCATCAACATCAGCTCGAAATCCTTTCAAACTCAATTTCCTATCCCCGGGCCTCTGAACTAACAGCGGGGTAGCAGTTCGACCCAACTATTGGGCAGATTCAGCGAAGCCCGACGCGAGCATCATCAGCATCAGCTCGAACTCCTTTCAAACTCAATCTCCTATCCCCGGGCCTTTGAACCCACAGCGGGGTAGCAGTTCGACCCAACTAGTGGGCAGATTCAACGAAGCCCGATGCGAGCATCATCAACATCAGCTCGAAATCCTTTCAAACTCAATTTCCTATCCCCGGGCCTCTGAACTAACAGCAGGGTAGCAGTTCGACCCAACTATTGGGCAGATTCAGCGAAGCCCCACGCGAGCATCATCAGCATCAGCTCGAACTCCTTTCAAACTCAATCTCCTATCCCCGGGCCTTTGAACCCACAGCGGGGTAGCAGTTCGACCCAACTATTGGGCAGATTCAGCGAAACCCGATGCGAGCATCATCAACATCAGCTCGAAATCCTTTCAAACTTAATTTCCTATCCCCGGGCCTTTGAACTAACAGCAGGGTAGCAGTTCGACCCAACTATTGGGCAGATTCAGCGAAGCCCCACGCGAGCATCATCAGCATCAGCTCGAACTCCTTTCAAACTCAATCTCCTATCCCCGGGCCTTTGAGCCCACAGCAAGGTGGGTGCTGAGATTGGGGTTCCCGAGTTTCGTGGTTTGCCTCTTTTTCTGTTTTCCGACAGAAGGACAGTGGGTTTTAGCGCTTCATGACACAATCAAAGCCTACAGTACACCGCTTTTAGGGTTTAGGGTTCATCCTGTATTATCCAGAATACCTTACCGCCCCTAGTTTTGAACATTCAGCGTAGTGATGTTGACTGGCGATCACAACCTTACTTGGGCTTCTTGGCATAATTGGAAGCTTGGGAAGCCCAGCTTTCAGGTTTGGGACCAGGGAATCTGGCTTCTGGTGTTGGGTTTGGTCCTCGTGGAAGAGGTGCTGGCACGGAGTTTTCAGCACCTGCGGAATTCTGAAGTGCGTGACTTAAGATGAGTGCTTCAAAGGCTGTAGGGCTGAGGATGCAAGTTAAAGCAAGACCACGACGCCTCAAAAACTTCACGGTTCGATAGCTCCTCCCTGCCCCCCAGCGTTGAGCCCTGCACAGCCCTTGATTCATAGCCTTATGAGAACTGTTGTTAGTTCTTGCGACCGGGGGATTTCAATGTGGGGCGTCTTCTCTCGCAGCTGTCGGGTGTGAAGAGAAATTGCACGCCACATATCTGTGGCCTTCAATCACCAGGCAGGGTGCCTTCAAGAGCCCGAACCTTCTCTCCGGTATGCCCTGAAAGTTCTGACCCTGAAATTCTAAAGGAGTCCGATTCAATCGTCAAACCTAGAGAAATCATGAACTCTCCAAACACCTAAAGCCCAAAGCCATGGCTGCTTCTCTACCCGCCAACCACCAGTATTAGTATATGATGGCGACGACAACAAACATGGCACTTACAACTATTTACTTGCACAGCTGAGTATTGCTTTCACTCCTCCTGCTACTACTACTACTACAACAACTACGACGACGACGACTACTACTACTCCTGCTGCTGTTGCTGCCGCTGCTGCTGCTATTGCTGCTGCAGCTGCTCCCTACCACTAGTCATTACCACTATGACGACGACGGCTACTATTACACCCTACCACGACCACGACCACCACCACCACCGCCACCACCACCACCACCACCGCCACCACCGCCACCACCACCACCGCCACCATCACCTCCACCACTTCTACCAACCACCGCCACACTACCACACTACCAGTACCACACAACAACAGCAAACACATAACACGTAACCATGCAGACCAGGATCTTGGCATATCCTCAGGCAAATTCAAGACCTTCCCGTCATCATCACCCACAACCTCAACAGCAACCACAAGGACGACAACGCCATCATCACAACTCTGAGCCCTAAACCCCTAAACCCTACACCCCGAAACTCTAAAACCCCTACACCCCGAAACCCTGAACCCCTAAACCCCTACACCCCGAAACTCTAAAACCCCTACACCCCGAAACCCTGAACCCCTAAACCCCTACACCCCGAAACTCTAAACCCCTACACCCCGAAACCCTAAACCTCTCAACCCTACACACCGAAACTCTAAACCCCTACACCCCAAAACCCTATAAACCCTAAACCCCGAAACCCAAAACCCCAAAACCCTATAAACCCTAAACCCCTAAGCCCTAAACCCCTAAACCCTACACCCCGAAACCCCTAAACACCAAACCCCTAAATCCTACACCCCGAAACCGTAAAACCCTATAAACCCTAAACCCCGAAACCCTAAAGCCCCAAACCCCTAAACCCTAAACCCCAAACCCCAAACCCCTAAACCCTAAACCCAAAACCCCAAAACCCCAGAAGCCCTAAACCCCGAAAAACCCTATAAACCCTAAGCCCTAAACCACAAAACCCTATAAACCCTAAACCCCAAAACCCTAAACCCCAAAACCCCCGAAGCCCTAAACCCCGAAAAACCCTATTCCCCCGCAGCCCGATCCGACCTTTCGATCCGCCAGAGCCAGGCTATCGAGACAGATCACGCACTCCATAGGGCCATCCTACGGCGTCTAGACCCAAAAATAGCCTAGGAACAAAAAGGGTGCCCTTTTTGGTTTAAAGGGGCTTATAAGGGAACCTGAACCCACAAAAAGGGAATAAGGGCCTACTCTAGGTCCTACGGAGTTCCGGGGCGTGGGGGGCTTGGGGTTTAGGGTTTAGGGGACAAGGTCTATAGGGTTCAGAAAAGCTGAGGAATTGCTTTTCAGAAATTGTAAGGGGTTCAGAAAAGCCGAGGAAGCTTTTCAGAAATTGTGGGGAGTTTAAGAAAAGGAGTTTTAGTGAAATGAGATTAGATTCATCTTTGGGACAAAATTCCGTAAACGGTCGCAGAGCCCTGAATCCCAGGCCAAAGACCCCAACTGTGAAACCCTCAGACCCTACCTGCTGGGTTGAAGTGTGTTGCGTTTAGGGCTTGGAGGCCCGGAAACCGTTATATAGGGGCCTTCATCATCAGAACACGGTTTCGGGGGGCCTTTACTATGGCATAAATCTGTGAAGGACCCCCCCCCAAAAAAAAGACCTTCTGATGCTGATTCTGAGAGGCATGTGGAGTCCATAAGGATGCAGCCCAAAGAAACAACCTTGGGCTCCATAGCCATAAGTGCCTTAAGTGGGCTTATAAGTGCCTATAAGTAAAAGCCAGAAAGTTGGAATATTATAATCTTAAACCCTTTATGGTAAATTATAAGGTATCCTACCCTGAAACTATATTCCAACTTTCTGGAGTTCCCTTTATAAGTATAGTTACCTTGTTTATAACCCCAGTTACTAAAGTCCCATGATCATGTAAGTAGCCATCCCTCAAGCCCAAGCCTCCTGCATGAGCTCCGGGGCATCGTGCGGTACCACTGGCATGTTCTTGACTGCCTGCAGCGCCATCTGGGCTGCGAGCTTTTTCAGAGACTCCCAAATCCCCTTTGTGGCTGAAGAATCATGAGGAATCCAGCTTGCATCAGTTTACAATGATAGAGGGACATTGTGCACGATGTGTCACATGCATTGCCGATTTCGCCGGGGTTTCTAGTCTCCTAGTTTTAGGCCCGCGCACTGCTTTGAGCCTTCTTGTACGGGGCGTGAATTCGGCTGATGGTGGCTGTAAGTGGAGCTACAAGTCTGAACTGAGGTCGACAGTACCTAGAGGGTCATACCCGACGCCTTTTTAGGATACCTAGCTTTATGGTTAGGTTCTCTTATATAGAAAAGTAGGTACCTTAAAAAGGGGTAGGGTATGGCCCTATAGGTAGCTCAGAGCCAACTCGATCTGCACTGCCGTTCGGGTCAGGCAACGACCTTACGTCTAAACCGAAGGCTTTGATAGAGGTTTAAGGTTTATGTAGGGTTTAGGAATAGAAACCAGTGGCCGTCAAGACGACATGACCGCCGCGACAAACTTAAGCACCTCGACCCGAACACAAGGCCCCAAAACAATCATCCCGACAACAAGAGTTCACCTGCCCGCAGCCGTGGGTGACGCGAAACGTGAGGATCGACTGCACAGAGTTCCTTTGATACAAGGCAGTAACGCAAGCGCATCGATCATCATAAGGGTTCCTGTATGTAAAGGTTTATTTCTCGCGTTACCATAAGGGTATTGTATGGCATCAGAGTATAGGGGGCCTCGTAAGTAGAGCAGGGTTTCGGGGTAGATTATAGCATAACTTATGATGCTTATGATATACCATCGGTAATCATTCAGATTTGGTCATGAGTGCGCAACGGACCCGGCATCTTGGCCCTAAAAGCCTGAATCTCTGAACCTCAACCCTAAAAATCCCTCTATAGTAGAAGCCAGAAAGTTGGAACATCATTGTCCTCATGCCCTTGAGGTAAAGTATATAGTGATCCTCGCATCAATCCTCCTAAAGCCATGTTCCAACTTTCTGGCTTCTACTCTAATAAACCCAAGGCCCCTACCACCTCGAACCGTAAGGTTCTTGCCAGTAGGCAATACCGGAGGAGCCTGAATACTTAAGACAGACTTCTAGAGTAAAATACAACTGACTATCATGGCGAAGTATATTGAAGAAAGTATACCTACATATGTATGTATATACATATACATATGTACACATATCTATTTATAAGGTGCACATACATACCAAAAAAATGCCCCTCTGTTGGCGCTAAGCGCGCTTTGAGGAGCCTGAGTGGGTTCCGGGTTTGGGGCTCCGCGGTTTGGGTGTTTGGGGCTTTGAGGACTTGGAGGGATTCTAGCTTTGAGGGCTCTCAGGGCTTATATCGTTAGGGGCCAATCGACACGTGTTTCAGATCACGGCATTACCTAGAGGTCCTCAAGCTTTTTCCTCGCAGCCCTATATGAGACGGAGAGCTCTGGGCCAGCTGGCGCGCTTGAAAACAAATCCTTGACCCTACTTGACGGATCAAGGCACCTAGAAAGTAAAGCTTCAAGTAGGGCCATACTTCCAGAAACCCCAGCTGAGGAACTGGTAGTCCTACTGAGCCTACTGACAACCTACTTAGAAACTCCCTTTCAGGGCCTTCTTAAGTACCAGAAAACCCATAAATAGGGACTACTTGAACCCTTAGGGAGCCCTTCAACACAACCCCGGATGCAATGCAAGGCTTGAGCTCGAAAAGCCTTACTAGGTTGGCCCTTTAAAGCCTCTGAAAAATATTCGCAAATAGGGTCCTATTAAGCCCAATAAGGGAAAATCTAAAATGTCCCAAAGGCCTACCTAGCTTAAGTCCAGAACGTTAGGTCGAGGCACACACCCGCTGCGCGGAGGACAATGGCCTCAAACGGTTTAGTTTAAGGTTTTTTTCTTTAAGTGCAATGGCTTCTTTCTGTAGGGGTTTGGGGTGTAAGATGTGGGGTTTGTATAGTGTTTAGGGTTAAGTGATTGGCAATAAGTTCGGGGCTTAGGTTTCAGGATAAAGGAAGTTAAAGTTTAGAGAGTCCTGTGTTGAGGGTAAGTCGTTCTGGGGTTGCAGGGCCTGCGTGTCGTACATACACTCAGGGCTATCCGAAAGAGTTGTAGGTAGTTGGGTTTTGGACTTAGGGTAGCACGAAGTATCATTCGCAAAGCAGGGTTTGGAAAAGCGGCAAAGAAACCGCTTTGCAACCAAGTCAACAGCAACCACAACAAGAGAAA